GGTCTACTCCATTGATTTGAGTCTCAGTTTCCTTCTCATCTTTATTGGTTCCCTGTACATTTTCCTTTGCTTCACTTAGCATTGCTTTCATTTTTTCATCTAATTTGCAACCAAATTCAACCAGTTCTGCAAGCATCCAGATTACCAGTGTTTTGAACTGTGCATCTGATAGGTTGACTATCTCTTCATCGCTTAGTTGTATTTTTTCTGGAGCTTTGATATGTTCTTTCAGTTGGGCCATTTTTTTTTTGTCTCAGTGCACCTGCTATATATAAGGGGCAGAGCCTTAGGTGTTTACCAGGGTGGGGCAACCCAGGTCACTGTGTTGTGATGCTGTATGTGGGCCAGGGGTGCGAGAGGGAACAGTGCCATTTGCTGAGCTCTTTGCCAGATTTCAGTCACTTTCTCTGCTACCCACAAGCAAAGTGAGCCCTTCTGGTGCTGATTCCCAGGTGGGTTGGCTTGTGTATGTTCTAGGACCCTGTGGGTTTCTCCAATGAACTCTCCTGCGAGGTTGGGAGTTTCTCCCACTGCTGCCTCAACCCCCACAGGTGTTTTCAATCAGTGTTTGAGGCTTTATTTTGATGGGCCGGGACCCCAGGTAGCCTGGCCTGTCTCGCTCCCCAGGTGTTCCTCCCAGTTTATCTGCATGTCAATGTGGAACTGCCCGGTCCACTAGCCGCCACCTTGCAGGTCCACCAGCTGCAGCCTTGCCTGTCCCATTCCACAATCCACTGCTTTGCTGGGTCTGCCATCCGCCACCTTACCCATTCCAGTCCTCCACCACCAGTTTTGCCACAAGTTCTCTCCACCTGGCTGCCTGTCTCTGCCCCTCCTACTGGTCTGGATGGAGGTTTCTTCTTTAACTGCTTAGTTGTTGGACTTCCATACACTTTGGTTTTCTGTCAGTTCTGGTTGTTTTTTGTTTTTATGTTGTTGTCCTTCTTTTGGTTGTGTGAGGAGGCACAGTGTGTCTACCTACACCTCCATCTTGGATGGAAGTCTGGAAGTTTTCTTCTTAATATTGGGAACAATACAAGTATATCTGCTGTTACTGCTTCTATTCAACACTGTACAGAAGATTTCAGCCAGGGTAAATAGGGAGAAAAAGAAATAAGAGGCATCCAGATTGGGAAGGAAGAAATAATACCATTTTATTTGTAGATGATATAATGTTGTATGTAGGAAATCCTAAGGAATCTATCAAAACAAACAATTATAGCTAATAAACGAGCTCATCAAAACAGTAGGATACAAGAGGAATACACAAAAATCAGTTGATCAGTTGTATTTCTATACATTAGCACTAAATGATCTAAAAATTAAATTAGAAAAATAATTCCATTAAAGAGAATGAATTATAGGAATAAATTTAACAAAATTCCAAGAAATCCAGGAAGCTCAGAGAGTCCCAAAGAAATTGGACCCAAGAAGGAATACACCAAGGCACATCATAATTACATTAGCCAAGATTAAAATGAAGGAGAGAATTCTAGAAGCAGCAAGAGGTAAGGGGACAGTCACCTACAGAGGAGTGCCCATCAGACTGTCAGTGGGTTTCTCAAAAGAGACCTTACAAGCAAGAAGGGGCTGGAAAGAAGTATTCCAAGTCATGAAATCCAAAGACCTACATCCAAGATTGATCTATCCAGCAAAGCTTTCATTTAGAATGGAAGGACAGATAAAGTGCTTCTCAGATAAGGTCAAATTCAAGGAGTTCATCATCACCAAGCCCTTATTATATGAAATGTTAAAGGGATTTACCTAAGAAAAAGAAGATAAAAAATATGAACAGTGAAAGGACAGCAAACTCACAGTTACTAACAACCACACCTAAAACCAAAGCAAACTAAGAGGACAGCTAGATCAGGAGCAGAACCATAGAAATGAAGATCTCATGGAGGGTTAGCAACAGGGGAGTGGGAGGAGGAGAAGGGGGAGAAGGTACAGAAAATAAGTAGCATAGACGGTAGGTAGAAAATAAATAGGGGGGAGAGCAAGAATAGTAGGGGAAATATAGAATCTAAAGAACTTGAGACATGTGGTCATAAACTAAAGAGGGGAATGGTGGGGGAGGGGGTGTGCAGGGTGGAGGGGAATGAAGGGGGAAATAGAACAAGTGTAATGGCATAATCAATAAAATATATTAAAAAAATAAAACCACAAAACATTTGTGAAAAAATGAAAGAAAACCTAAATAAAAGGAAAGCCATTTTGTGTTCATAGATTGGAGGAATTGATGTTGTGAAGATGGCAGTACTCCCAAAATTGATCTATAGACTCAATGCAATCTCAATCAAAATTCTAGCTGCCTTTTTGTATATGTTGACAAGCTGATGTGAAACTTGATATGGAAATGCAAGGGACCTAGAATAGCCGAAATAATATTGAAAAGGACAAAGCTGGAGGACTCACACCCCTTTATTTCAAAAGCCTACTACAAAGCTATAGTAATCAAAACAATGCAGCACTGGTATAATGATAGAAATATAGATAAATGGAACAGAATTGAGAGTACAGAAATAAACCAATACATCTATGGTCAATTGATTTTTATAAAGGAGCCAATCTAACTCAATGGAGAAAAAATAGTCTTTCCAACAAATTGTAATGGGACAACAGGATGTTCACATGCAAAAGAATAAGGTTAGACCTCCACCTCACACCATATGTAAAAATGAACTTAAAATGAATCCAAGATCTAAATGGAGAAACTTAAATGATTAAACTCTTAGAGGAAAACATAGGTATAAATCTTTGTGACCCTAGATTAGGCAATGTACATATGATATGTAAGGCACAAGCAATCAAAGGGAAAATGGATAAATTGGAGTTCATCAAAATTTAATCAAGAAAATAAAAAGATGACCTAGAGAATAGGCGAAGATATTTGCAAATCATCTATCTGATAGGGCTCCTGTATCCAGAATATGTAAACTATGAAAAGCCAACAATAAAAACAATGACCTAGTTAAAAATGGACAAAGGGTTTAAACACACATTTCTCCAAAGATATACTTGGCTAACAAGAACATGAAAAGATGCTCAACAATGAGATACTATTTTACATCCACCAAGCAGGAAGACTATAATAAAAAAGATGGACAATAACAAGTGTTGGCAAAGATATGGAGAAATAGGAACTGTCTTACATTGCTGGTGGAAGTGGAAAATGGTGCAGCGGCTAAGGAAAACAGTTTAGCACTTCCTCAAAAAGCTAAAATATTGACTTGTCATATGATCCAGGAATTCCATTTCTAAGTATACACCCAAAAGAATTGCAGGCTAGGACTCAAAATGATACTTGTACACTAATTGCAGTATTCATACAGCCAAAAAGTGGAAGCAACCTAAGAATCCACCAGCAAAAGAATAAACAAAATGTGGTATGCACATACAATGGAGTATTATCTTCAGCTATAAAAAAAAGGAATAAAATTCTGCTACATCTTACAATGTGGATGAACTTTGAGAATATTATATTAAGTCAGACATTTAAAGGAAACTACTGTATGATTACACTTATATGAGGTATACTCAGAATAGGCAAATTTACATACACACACACTAGATTAGAGTTAGCAGGGGAATTATGCTTAATGGTTACAGAGTTTCTTTTTGGGGTGATAAAAAAAGTTTTGAAAACAGTGGAGATGGTTATGCAGCATTGTGGATGTAATTAATGTCCCTGAACTGTACATTTAAAATGGTAAATTTATGTTATGTATATATCTCAAGTTCTAAAAACTAATAATATACCAAAGCCATAGAATTGTACACTTTAAAAGGGTGAATTACATGGTGCTGTACATGACATAGTCTCAATAAAAACCATTTTTTAAAAAGTGAAGGGAAAAAAGAGAAATGAAGTCTCTCAAGCTATAAAAAGATATGGATAAATCTTAAATGCATATTGCTAAGTAGAAGAAACCAGTCTGAAAAACTACATACCATATGATCCAACTATATGACATTCTGGAAGAGGCAAAAACTATGGAAACAGTAAAAAGATCACTGGTTGTCAAGGGCTGCAGAGGGTGGGGGAGGAGATGAATAGGTGGAGCACAGGGCACTTTCCAGGTTGAAAAACTATTCTGCATGATAATGGAATGGTAAAGACACAACATTATACATTTTCGAACCCACAGAAATGTAGAACAGGGTGAACCTTGATGTAAACTAAGGACTTTAGTTAATAATCGTATGAATATTGGTTCATCAATTCTAACAAATGTACCACATTGATGCAAGATGTTTAATAGGAGAAACCACGTGAGGGTAGGGAAGGGTACATAAGAATGTGCACTCTGCATAATCTTTCTGTAAATCTGTAACTGCTCTTAAAAAGTCTATTTAAAAAATGTATACTTAACACAGACATTGCACTGAATTTTATCTCATGATTCATGAGGCTCTTCACTTTAAACACAAATGATAATTTTACATCAGATGGGAAGTGCTGATTCTTTTACCATTGTAGGAAATCAGGCACTACCGAATCATCTCAGCTCAGTATTCTATCACCCTTCCCCTACTTCACCTCCTCCTCCTCCAGCCCCCACAAAAATATTTTATGACCTAATTTTTTGTATTCATAAAACCACTTGAATCTAGCTAGTCTTTGAAGGTTCCAGTCTTTGGAAACTTCCTTACATTTATGCCTACATTCCAACTGAATTGTAATTATGAGTTACAGTGACATTATTGTACCAATTTGCCGTGCTTCCTGTTTTATTCACTTTGCTTACTTCCTGGGAGGTATCATTTTATCATGAACCTAAGTGCTGATTTCATATATCCTTTAGAAAAAAAAAAAAAGATTGATCTCTAAGGCTCTCAAGAGTTAATACAAGGGATTAAACTGGAAACCACAGCTACCCCAGAGGAAATGTAGCTAATACATTTAAGAACAACTTTTCCCCTGTCTTCTGGTTTTAAATGATTTCCTTCCAAACTCCTAATCTTTATTGGCACACTGTAGAAACCTCTTTAACTGTTACCTTGGTCTTTTCCGGCTTCATCTATGTGTTGAAAATCTTTTAGCATTTTAAGGTTATAGAACCCCTCTATGCAAAACTGAATAACTTCCTTTGATCCATTCTTGATGAGATAATCCAATAGCGTGAGGGATTTATACACGTGGCGCCAGTTCTTCCCATGGTCATTTAGTCTCTGCCATAGCATATTCATAATCTCTGAGAGAGAAACTGTGTTGAAAGTCAGGTCACTGATAGCTAACATCAGAGAGCTAGAAGGACCCCAAGGATCATTAGAAGTTGCTTCCCTGACTTTTATTTCAGCGTCTGAGTAATTTTTCACGAAGTTTTTCACTTGTCTCTTGAATGCCATAGGTAAGACAAGTTTGAAGGTAGGATAGGGGATGTGAGCAATAGAATAGGAGTTTGTTCATAAAACCCATGGTAGGTGGTTGATCCCCATATCTGCTGCTCCCGAATACAAATGATTAATCATCATCTTGACAAGGCATCAATTTCCTGCAAAGGAAAACACACAAAGAAATGTAAGTTAATTTTTTTAAATGTCTACAGAACACCAAGTCAGTTTGAAAAATCTAGCTTCAGTTTCTAAATCAGCCCCTCACTTACATCAGCCAGAATTGAAGGTACCATGGAATAGTTCCCAGGATCATTATGAGAAAATCTCTCATAATGGATTGGCCTACTTCATTTAGAGAAATATAAGTGGCCTTTCTAGTCTTAAAGGTTCCTGCAGAAAATATCATTCATTCTCTTTGGCCAGAAATAAAATCATTATAAAGCATTTCATGGGCAGTGGACAATTTAGCATAAGCAAATAGAACTTGAGCTCTGAACATCTCATGCCTAGGATTTGCTGTCATGTATAAAAATATTAAGTTCTAAAAATAATTCAGATGGTGAAAGTGGAATCTTAGAGTCACCAAGTAACCCTATGGTCACATTCTTTTTAGAACTACAAGTTATTAGAATCAGAAACTAAACATGGTCTGCTTTCTCGTTGATCAAAAAAGTCATTGCCCCTCAGTTGGCTCCACATTGGACTCATGGTACCCTAGACCAATATTTTAGTCCTGGCAAAACTAGTAAGTTCAAGGAAGAGGTCAAATTACGTTCTTTACTCAAATTTAGAGAAGAAAGTCTGAGTTTAGAATTAAACAGTACCGATAGTATGATTCAAACAGTCTCAGAATTTTCCTAAAATCTGGAGTGATCAGCAGTCTCTGCAAAAATACCTGAAAACTGAAAAGGGGTATGCAGCCCCAAAACTTTAAATGATGCTTGTGAACGATCAATTTATAAGTTTGTATGAAACTATTTATTTCCTTTCTTCTTTTTCATTATTTTCCATTAAGGTGAATCCATTAATTTGCAATTTCCCTAGAGACTCAGCACTGATGACCATCAAAATAGTGTGCAACCACCTGATTTCAAGCCCTGTGAGCAGTATCTAGTCCCAACAAAGACTCTACAATCTAGAATCAGTTTTTGCTAGAGAAACTGTACACATATGAAATAAAATGGTTAAAATTCATAACAAATAAATTCATTTTTAGTTTTGTTTTGCTTCTCTTCTTTGACCTTTTCAACTTCCAGCTCAGCCTTAATTAATTTCTGCGTATTAAAGGAAGACATAAATTTTCAAAAGCATCCTAAATGAACTATCATGTCTTTCTTAAAAAATAAGAGAAGATAATTAACTTTTTTTTAAGTACCACGCATCCTCAAATAAACAGGACAGAAAATCTATCAATTTAATTAGAATTTCTCAGAAAGAGACTAGCATCAACCCTGGGAAGGAAAAAGAAGTTGCACATTTTCAAATTTTTCTGATTTACTCTTGTTTGCACTGCAAGTACAAGCATTCTTATCTGACTCACCACTGCAACAAAAACTCAATTTATAGTGTGTTTCAATACGCTATTAAAATTTTCAGTCACAAGGGTTTTCCTTTTCTCTTGTCCTTCTCTGTCTATCAAACTTACTCAGAGCAGAGCTACACTGTGACACTGGCTCAGAGCAACAAATATTGATCTGCTTTCTCACAAGTCTATTACAAAAACAGTCTATCAGAATCATAACTTGCTGTAATTGAACAAGTCACTAAAACCCATTTTTTTTCTTTTTTGGATAGCTACCTATCTACATTTTAGTGGGACAAAACCCTAATTTTTAGGTCTTTCTGTTCTCTCCAACCTGCATTTTTAAATTTATTTATTCTTCCCTAGAAAGCTAAATAATAGCCGTCGGTCCAATAGAGTAGTTTCAGATGGATGTTGCTGACACCATTCCAAAATAAATACATTTCTAACCATTAGAAAACCAAAAAGAAAAAAATCTGATTGAATTAGTATCATTTACTAATTATGGCACTTTGTGACATTAATATAGAATATGCAAGACACAATTCTACTACTGTTATGGTTTTTTTTAATTTTTATTTTATTGATTATGCCATTACAGTTGTTCTATCCCCCCTTCATTAACCTCCACCCTGCACCCCCTCACCCCTTCCATTCCCCCCCTTTAGTTTATGACCATGTGTGTCAAGTTCTTTGGATTCTATATTTCCCATACTATTCTTGCCTTCCCCCTATCTATTTTCTACCTACTGTCTATGCTACTTATTTTCTGTACCTTCTCCCCCCTTCTCCTTCTCCCACTCCCCTGTTGCTAACCCTCCATGAGATCTTCATTTCTATGGTTCTGCTCCTGATCTAGCTGTCCTTTTAGTTTGCTTTTGTTTTAGGTGTGGTTGTTACTAACTGTGAGTTTGCTATCCTTTCACTGTTCATATTTTTTATCTTCTTTTTCTTAGGTAAATCCCTTTAACATTTCATATAATAAGGGCTTGGTGATGATGAACTCCTTGAATTTGATCTTATCTGAGAAGCACTTTATCTGTCCTTCCATTCTAAATGAAAGCTTTGCTGGATAGAGCAATCTTGGATGTAGGTCTTTGGATTTCATGACTTGGAATACTTCTTTCCAGCCCCTTCTTGCCTGTAAGGTCTCTTTTGAGAAACCCACTGACAGTCTGATGGGCACTCCTTTGTAGGTGACTGTCCCCTTACCTCTTGCTGTTTCTAGAATTCTCTCTTTCATTTTAATCTTGGCTAATGTAATTATGATGTGCCTTGGTGTATTCCTTCTTGGGTCCAACTTCTTTGGGACTCTCTGAGATTCCTGGATTTCCTGGAAGTCTATTTCCTTTGCCAGATTGGGGAAATTCTCCTTTATTATTTGTTCAAATAAGTTTTCCACTGGCGGCTGTTCCTTTCCCCCTTCTGCTACCCCTATAATACGGATGTTGGAGCATTTAAAGATGTCCTGGAGGTTCTTAAGTCTCCCCTCATTTTTTTTTTTTTGAATTCTTGTTTCTTCATATTTTCCTGTTTGGTCATTTTTTCCTTCCTTCTGGTTCACTCCCTTGATTTGAGTCCCAGTTTCCTTTTCATCGCTATTGGTTTCCTGTGCAATTCTCTTCATTTCAATTAGTTTAGCCTTCACACGTTCCTCTAATTTGTGACTAAAATCAACCAGTTCTGTGAGCATCCTGATCACCAGTGTTTTGAACTGTGCATCTGAAAGTTTGGCTATTTCTTTGTTGCTTAGAGCTATGGGCTCTGGGGCTTTGAGTTCTTCTTGAGCCATAATGTTTTGCTCTGTTTGCGCCTGTTACCTATGAGGAGCGGAGCCTTAGGGGCAGGGCGGGGCGGGGCCTCCAGGGCGGGGTTGCTAGGTTGTGACGCTGTATGTGTGGGCGGGGTCAGAGCCGGAAATGGCGGCCTTCTCAGCTGCCTCCCCTCACTGGGACCCACTCGGTCCATCTCACTGCCCACTCCCTTGCCGGTGTACCTGCACAGGAATGCACCACCACAGTCAACCTGCTCGCCGGATCTGCTGGTTGCTCACTGGGTCGCTCACTGGATCCGCCCTTTGCAACCCCACACCAGGGATCCGCGTGCCTGAGTCCATTTGACTGAGTTTTCTTGTGCAACCCCACTCCGCCAGCTGCTGGTTTCGCCCCTCTTACAGGTCAGGCTGAAGCATTCATTGTTATCAGACTTCCGAAAACTTCAATTTTCTGTGTTCTGGCTATGTTTTCTCTTGCTAATATTTTGTTGTCTCTAAACTTGGTTATGTGAGAAAGCACAGTGTCTCCACCTATGCCTCCATCATGGCGGAAGTCTACCACTGTTATGTTTTTACACTAATGAGTTCAATTAATTGTAGTTGTAAGTGACATGTTGGTATACTCTCTGTTTTACACACCTGACTACATGCAAACGTTCAGTTTACTCAGGCTGTCAAAAACTTGAGGTTATTGTGATGATGATGAGACAAAATTAGTGCCCTAAAGGGTAAATTTTCACACATTTGGGTAGTCTCCCTACAATGTATAGAAATGGAGGGAAGATATTCCATGTCCCAAATCTATGTCACCTCCTCTGAGAGGCCTTCACTGATCTTGCTAACTACTTATATCATCCCATCAAACTCTTTTTAGCACCTGCCGTACTTCCTTCATAGACTTATCATGATCTGTACATATATATTTGTCATTTGGTCTTTGGCTTTCTCCACCACCAGGCTAGTTCTTGAGAGCGGGGACTTTGACCATCTTATTTACTAGTGTAATCCTATTGACTAACATGTACCTAGCACACAGTAGGCACTCAAGAAACAGGTGTTGGGTGAATGGCCAAATGGTTTAATGATTCTGCTTGGGGATAAACCTGTATGGATGCTACGTCTTTAGAATAAATATAACATTAAAAAAATATAATCATGCTTTGACTGGTGTGGCTCAGTGGGTTGGGTGTCATCCCACAAACTGAAGGGCTGCTGGTTCCTGGTCATGGCACATGCCTCCGTGTGGGCCAGGTCCCCCTCCAGGGTAGAAACACACAAGAGGCAACTGATTGATGTTTCCCTGACACATCAATATTTTTCTCCCTCTCTTTCTCCCTCCTTTTCCCTCTCTTTAAAAGTAAATAAATAAAATTTTATGTATGTATTTGTGTGTGTGTATTCCAGCTCTTGTAATTGTCAGGTAAAATTCTAGAGTATTGAGCAAGTATTTGTAAATCAGTCCATCAATATTTCTTGAACATACAGTTTTGTAAGAGATACAGGAAACATATAATAAAATCCTTATATTAAAAACACATCATTAAGGAGCTTTTCCCCTTAAATAATTCCAAAATAAGCAAATGATGAGGTAGTGAAAGTCTCTGTTTTCTTTTTAGGTTTATCCAGCTTCCACAATGCTTTGCCAAAGGCTGTTTGCTCCCACAGCTTTTCCTGAATCATAACAGGAGATCATTTGGGTTATCAACTGACAGTAAACTATTGGTGCACAATTCCTTAACCAAATTCTTTGAGGCTAGCTGACTTGTAGAATTCAAACTCATTTATTTTTTATTTTACTTTTTACTTTTGAAGGATAATGCCATGTCTATAACGTATATTACATGACACCCACAGTGAGGTGTGGGGCCACTCTGAACAATCAAACGCATTGACATGACAGAGGCAAAAACCTGTAAGTATATGAAATACATGAAGACAAATGGCTTGTTTCAATCCAGGTCTTTCCACAAGTTATGGGAGGAAACTGGTTTTTAAAACTTTCTGTGTATTAGAATTGAGAATAAGGAATTAAAGAAGCTGAAATGACTTTTACCAGAGACCTAAGGAAATGACAACCAGCAGCACCTAGGAGGTTGCGTGCCAAGAAGCATCTGTAGAAAGAGAATTCGGGGCTCTGCAATAACAAGGAGAAAAGAGCTCTTGTGTTTGGACACGTTCTGCCTGTAGACATGAGCTCAGCCCAGGAGGAAATAAGGTCTGACCGAGATCGTCACGGGAGGACGATCACAGAGCACGCCATGACATCAGGAGATGAAACTGTTCTGATGGAGAGAGCGCTGCAAGAGGCAGAGACGCCAGCTTGCCTGAGCCCCTCCTGGGTGTTCATTAACCAATCCAATTAGGAGTTTCCCAGAGTTTCCCACGGACAGGCCCCCTTCTAGGAAATGGAGAAACAGGTGCACAAGACACAGTCACCACTCTCGTTAGTAACTGGCTGCTCTTTACTGAATGCTCGCAGCGTGCCCACATTCGCATACCTCATCTCATTACTTTAATTAGGACTCCAAAGGCATGGATTTGAGGTCCTGTTCTCCCATTTCCTAATTAAGGGTTACAACTTCTCCGGGCCGGTGCCCCATCTGCAGGAAAAGGACTAATCACATAGGGAAGACGGTTGAGAGGAAGCAGTGAAGTGCGCGGGAAAGAATTCTGAGCGTGAACAGCGGAGGCTGGGTGAGAATCGACTTCCAGCAACTGCCCTCTGATAGCTCAGGATTTACTTGCAGGGGGAGGCTGGGCTCGGAGAAGGTTCTAGAAAGTGGCAGCGACATGTTGGTGTGACGCAGCAGAGACTTTTCCTTACGATGACAGTGCGGGCCTCAACCCTCTGTCACGGGCACTCCGACCGCCAGCCGGCACAGGCATGGGACAGGGGGCGGCCCAGTCCCCGCCGACCTCCATTACCAGCCCCTCCTCCTAAGAGCAGCTACCTGAGGAGAAAGTCCAGCTCCCGCGGCGGGGCCTCTCCCCACTCCAATTCAAGCCCCTGGCTCCCTAGGCTTATTCAACTCCTCCAGGCCCGAGTGCCCGGCGCCCCCCACTTCCGCTTCCTCACTTCCGGCCTCTCACCTCCACTTCCGGCTTCTTGCTTCCGGCCTCTCCCGAGTCTAGCACGTGCCTCTGCCGGAGCCTCAAACAACAGGGGTGCGAGGGGTGAGAAGACCCCAGCTTGAGGGAAGTGAGTGGAATGAGGGTGAAATGTCCTCTCATTTAACAATCTGTTCGTTTGTGGTACTGCCTTAATTCTCCTTTCAAAGAGTAAGATTTACAGCCTGTGTCGGTGTAATTTTAACTGACTGGAAATGCCATCCGCCCTGATTTCCACCTCAAAAGACAAAGAACAGAGAAGTCGTCCCCAGAGATGAAAAGAGTGCTGTGTGTCATGGGCAGTGACAGCCTCAGGCGCCACTGACCCGTGGTCGTTGAAATATTCTATTGATCTTCAGGGAACACCCAGCAGGTGCGGGGCACCCACCCAGCCGCGAGGACCCAGACTCCTGGCGAGTCCGGGGCCCAGCGAGTTTGCAGGACGGCGGGCGTGGAGGCGACGGGCACCAGCCCGGAAGACTGCGACAAGACAGGCACGGCGTCTAATTGAGGAGAAGGCCTCTCATCCGGCCCAGGAGGACTTAAGGGCAGGTTTCCCCGAAGAGTGTACATCTGATTTAAATCTTAAAGAATGACAGGGCGTTCGTTGAATAAGCAGAGCAGAGGAGGCCATTAGAGGCAAAAGACTCATCATGGGTAAAATCTCGAAAGCTGAGAGGGCTCATTATCTTGGGAAAACTGCCAGCACCGGTACTTCCACGGCTGTGGCCGAGGCTCTCAGCAGAGCGGCGGAGGAATGTTAGGTCCCGGAGGACCTCGACCACACTGCCAGGCCATTTTATCCACTGAGCATATCATCAGACCTGTTGGAAGGCATGTTGGTGCTTGAGTGGACCATGGCAGCACTCTACTGGGACAGAGGGAAGAGACTTAGAGAATAGGAAAATGTTTCATAGAGGAAAGTAACATGTGTTTTTAACGCTTACTACTTCAAGTGTGATGATGATTATAACAGCCCACATTACTGATACTGGAATGAAGATAGGTAAGTATAATATAAAATGATAGGAGGTATGAAAGAAGTATGTCTGCTTGAAATACTGCTTAGCCGGCTAAGTGGAGTAGCAGCCAGAGGGAAATGGGAAAGCGGGCTTGGAAAGGGATTATTCAGGGGCTTGAATAACATGTTAAGGTGTTGTTCTGTAATGTGTGTTGAGGGGGGAGCGGACAAACAACAAGTATTTTATATATTGAATTAGAGCTTGAGAAGACTTTTTTTCCTAAGGATATCTTACGCAAATTTCAAAGGAACTCTGAAAAGTAGGCATTAATGACCCTATTTTACATAGGAGGCAGTGAGTTTGGAGAAAATGCATTCACTCTACATCCTTGAGCAACCTGGTGTGTGCCCCGCATTATGCTGAGCTATTGGGACTACAAGGAAATTATAGTCTAACAGTCTCAGAGGAGACAGAAATAAATCAGCAATTATAATAAGTTGCCATGACAAAGGCAAATATAGAGTGATGTGGGAGTAAAAGGGGGATTTGTCTAAATCTACAAAGTTAGGGAAGTCTTCCTGGAGTAGGTGAACTTGGGCTGAGTTTGCAGGAAAAAGTGGACTGTGTGAATTGCTCGGAATTATTCAACCATCAAGTTATTTAGCTAGAACTTGAACACAAATATTCTGCATTCAATGCTGTGCCCTTTCCCCTACTCTAAGGATGGTCCTTGACATTGAAATCCATGGACATTCTCAATCAGAGGTCTACCTGTTGTATTTTGAGGTCAGAAGTCCCATTTTTTTTCTTTTTAAATCCATTCATTTCCTCCTTTTAGACTGAATCTCTGGATGAGTTTAAAAGGGAGTAGATTAGGCTCCCCAAAGGTGCAATGTTACCTACTTAGAGAAATTAACTCTGTTAAAGTGACATTTTGTAAGAGGTCCTTTTTCTCTGCTTTTCTCCATTTGGGGGCACCATAATTTAGTTGTAATACTACAGCCTTTGTTAAATACAGACATCGTTATACAATACAACTTGTTGTATTCCTCCCCCATCCCTGAAATTCAGAGTTTTATAAAAGTGAAGTTTCTTCTCTTGGTTTCTAGGGCATCACACTCCTCATCTCTTTGGCTGGTTTCTTCTCATTTCTCTGACCTCTCAACTTTGGAGGAGTCTGTTCTCTGCATTTCTTCTTTAGATGGTTTTAGCCAGTCTCACAGCTTTAAACGCCGTGCTCTTTCTCAGCAGTTCTCAACGCTTTATTATCAGCCCTAATCTCTTCTGACTTCCCTGCTGGCACTTCTCATACACATCTCATATTTAATACATCCAGAACCAAACTCTTAATCCTCCAAACCTGCTCCATCTTAGTAAGTGACATATCCTTGCTTCTAGTTTCTTAGGCCCATGACCTTGAAGTCATCACCTCCTCTCTTTGTCTCTCACACCACACATCATTATCCATTATTCATCAGCTCATCTTTTCATACAGCTGGCTGCCAAGTCTGGGTAATATGTGTCAGAGGTAACAAATGGTTTATCAATGCCACCTTCTAATACACAATAAAATAATATCTATGTTTCCAGACTTTATGGTCACCCTGTACATTCAAACTTAACTACTGCCCACAACCTTCACTTCCCATCTGTCCTAAGTTGCCATCATCTCTTACCAGGACCATCACAGGAGCCTCTTATCTGGTCTCCCTGTTTCTGCTCTTGCTCCCTTACCATCTAACCTCAACACAGCTATCAAAATGGTCCTTTTAAAACTTAAAATCCAAGTCAGATCATGTAATAACTAGCAAGGCCCTAAGCGTTCTGGCCCCCGCTCTCTCTAACCTCCACACTGACTCCTCTTTACCTCGTGCATCAGGCTTGCTCCCACCTTAAGGCTTTGCACCTGCTGGTCCCTATACCTGCAAAAGCTGTTGGCCCAGAGAGCTCTTAGGCTGGCTCCCTTGCTTTGTTTTGGATTTTGCTCAAACGTCCTTTGATCTCCCAGTGAAATCACAACCCCCCCCCCCAGTCACACTTCCTATGACTCTGGCCCCATTTTACGGTTCTCCGTCGTAGTGCAGCCATCTGACATATGTGTTGTTTCTCCCTGTGCCAGAAAGTGAGATCCTGGAGGGCAGGGATTATGTTTTGTTCACTGATATATTCCCAGCATGTAGAAGAGCTGTTCAAATGTTATTTACTGAATGAATGAAAAGAGAGTGTCTGGATCCACACTGTTGAATGAGAAGTACACATATCACCATAAAACCAGATTAAACACAATTATGCATAAGAAGTTCTGATATTGACGATGATCCCCTTAGAAGGAATTACTTCTAAAATTTCAGAAGCTTCTGAAAAATTTTTAAAAGTACGCTTTTAAAAGAAAATTTCTCCATTGTAGATAAGTTGAGATTTCATGTATTTCTAAATCCTCCCAATTTTACTGATATTTTTCTGAGTGTCCCCGATGGTGCGGATGGAAATGCTGGTGTTCTCACGTGACAGCCTTTGTTCTTAGGTTTCGCCTCTGCACTTGTTCAATTAATGAAATAAACCATTGAGATGGCTTTGCTCCCCTCCCAATGTGCTCTAGAAACACATCTGCTGATCATTACTTACTACCGCAATAACTTGAGATTTTTTCTGTTCTGTACTTTGCCCCACACTTGTAAGGGGAGGGGTTATATTCTGCTCCCTGGGGTGCAGCACCCTGTGGAAAAGTAGCGTCCTCTTTAGGGTGCAAACTGAAAACGCCATGATACTTCCTGGAGCACTTTTCAACTTTTCCTCCTTCTTCTGGCTCCCCGGCCATGGAGGTGTAAGGGGCTCAGTGTTTGACCACTTTAAAACTGCTGAATGGGATAAGGACTCTGCCAGAAGATCGTAGGGTTTGAAAACTGGCAATGGAACCCTGGGGTGTAACGATGACCCAGGTCCTTGAACCATGAAGACTAAAGAATGCGGAGGCCAACCTTGAGATGTCATTGTTTTAAAATTGGCAACATAGCCCCAAGCAATGTGCCATCCCTGTGCACTGAAAGGTGGCGGGTTTGATCCCCAGATGGGGTGCGAATGGGAGGCAACCAGTGGATGTTTCTCTCTCTCTTTCCCCCCTCCCCTCTCACTCTCTCCCCCTCCTCCTCCTCGCTCTCTAAATTCAATAAACATTTTTTAAATTGTAAATCAGCAACATGTTTTATCTTGAACTTTCCATCTTTATAATGTGGAAATAATGACAACCCTGTTCAGACACAACTTGAGTTGAAGAAAATTCGACAGGCTGGCATTATTAAAAAGAAAGTGCTTCTTATATTTTAAGAGTTAGGGGAAGCAAATTGCTTCTCTTAACTCATTTAACAAATATTTACTGGACACTACCTGCTGTGACCAAGATGCTCTATTGATTCTACACCGGAGTCTTCTTTGCTATTTCAATTTAAAAAAGCAATTATAACCAAAGAAAAGTTTTTTATAAAAAGGTTTTTTATAAATCTTGAGCAAGGTTTAGGTATAAAGGGGCAAAGAGAAAATTATACCATTTCACAATATAGAATAAATTTAAATTTTAGAACCCCAAATCGAGTCTAATATGATGCCCTCCTTCTTAGCTTTCAAGGGATTAATGCTAGGAACATCCTGCGAGCCAACATTTTCCTCTTTATCTCGGGTCTGGTTTCCAAACTCTGAATGGTGCCATTTAGTGAGTAGCAACGTGTCTAATTTTATGTGAAAGATGCAACATTGCAATCCATTTTTAGCAAGAGCAAAGAGAGAGGAAGAGGCCTTTACAAGTTGCACTTGTTATGGGAGGCAGGAACTTGGGAGGGTAAGTTATAAATTTGAGGGTAAGAACTCAGAAAGTTGAAGGTGACGGAAACTTAAACATCCCAGAAATCCTTTAGTCCAACCAACTCAAGAGAAAGTGAATCCCAGACCCAGCTTATGTCTCATTGTGGCAAAACGGGCTGGAACACATCCTAGCTCAGAGCCTTCCCTTTTTTTTTTTTTTTTTTTGGTTCAGTGTAATATTATGGGCTAATTGCACTAAGAAAGCATTTTTTTTCTGGGGTTTTAATATTGTGAGTGATCCAGAGTGGTATTAAATAAGTTCCCCTAAGAATTCTTACTGTTTCTCTGGTTGCATGGCTATACTAAGGGAAAATGAGAGTTTTCCTTAAGACCAGCAGCAGCCTGCCAATGCACTATCTCTAGGATTAGAAATTTTCTTATATGAACATAATGGTTCAGAGGGGAAATTGTTAAAACTGAAACAGTTGCATAAAGAAGCAAAAGTGTTTCAGTGAACCTCTTGCATTTTAGTTCAACTTTGACAGCAAGAAAACAAAACCACATAATCTAAGGCTCACGCCCAACTCTCTGAAGCCCCAAGTCTGCTAGTTCCTGTGTGGTTTGCTTACAGACTGTAGTTCTGACTGGGGGTAGTTTGGAGGAGGGAGTAAGAAGTTAGGGAGGAGGAGGTACTACTAATGGATCTGTGATGTGAACCCTCTTTTTAGTGTGGCAGTTGGAAGACAGCACAAGGTGGATCCGTACTCTGAAATGGCAGTAATTTGGATGTGAATTCAACTTCCTTCTTGCAAGAAAGGATTCTAATAACTCTGTCAAAGCCAAGCCATAGACTCAATCTCTTCTCTTCTAAAAGGTATGTTATAATGCAACGTCCGTCCACATACTCTAGCAGTCTTGAATAGTTTTATAGTTTGTAGAATGCTCTCTATGAGTCAAATCTTAATCCCATCGGTTTTCCAAATATTGCTTTTAAGATGTTGTCCCATCTCTTAATCTTTCGCTGTAGCAGTCAGTGTCTGTGGTGATAAGATTTGACTTCTAACTAGCAAATGAACGAGGAAAGGACTTGTTTCTTACCCAACCCATTACACAAAAGAACTCTGCTGATGGCTTCTGTGGATTACAAAGGTGAAATTCCACTTCACCATAGTCAGCATTTAATTCAAACTGGGGAATCAGGATGAGGGGCTGAGCAACAATGAATGAACACTAGTATTCTGAGGTCAGAATTTCTCTCATTGCTTGCATTTCTACTTCTGTTAGCATCTGTGTCACCTTTACAAATAACTCCAGTTTAGATCCCTTTACAAAAAGAAAACTTTGTGTTGAAATAGATTTTGAGAGGGTGTTGCCTATCTTTGTCTCTTTATTAACAGTTAATGCTATATCGCTAAGACTGTCTTTAGTTTAGGCATCGTCTTAAGACAACTCTATGCTCTTTGCCTCACCTGTTCCTGAAAACAAGAATTGAAATACATCTACCCAGGATTTTACTAACTTTAAAATATTGTATTTACAAATCCCAAATTGGGCCTTGTTAATAAAGTGTATACTACTTAATTTGCACATTACTGAAAATATGCATCCTCAGATAAATTAAGGGAGAAATGTTTAGGATCTAAAAATCCAAGGGCAAAAATTGCATGTTGCTCATATTATATCATCTGAGAATGGGAAACCTTGGGTTGAAGACTCTTTTGTTCCATATGACTACATCTGCAATAGATTATTTAGCTCTTTAGTGCCCCCTCCCACTTTCTTATTTTTGGTTTCAAAAGAACATTTAGTGTGAATATATTCTGCTTTAACAACCCACTATTGTTTATAAAACTTCATATTTATAAAATAATTTTAAAGTGATTCTCTTTACAAAAAGACCCATTACTAAATAAAGAACACTACATAAATAATCATGTAAGTACATTTAAAATTCAAGTTTAAAAAAATTCTGATTTGTACTTTGAGAACTTTTTTTTTGTAAAGAGAGACAGCTCTATATCATCAAATTAAAATACCTTTTTAGATTGAATTTGGTGTGTCTCCCATGTAATAAAATGTAATATTATTCTCCCTAAATTGTAATAGATTTTTATCTTTTTAAAATGACTTTACCGAAGCAGAAGGGGAGGAGGTGATTGGGTTGTTCAATATGAAGAAATATCTGTATTGCTAATATAATATCCTTTTCAATATCTTCCACATCTTAGGTCATAGTGAAAATCCCTTTAATTTTTTTTAATTTCAATTATTCTATCCCTATGTTATAGGGATATTGTAAGAATAAATGAGTCAACGTAGATAAGAAGTGCTTTAGGAAAAAGGCCCTATGAAAATGCAAAGTGATATTGTTAATTATTTCTTTGAATCTTGATCATTTCCTTCCCACTTCTTACACAAAAGATATCTATCTCCCTTACTGCCTGCACCCTTCTCTTGTAGAACCATTGCCTTCTGGAAGAGCTGAAAATGACCCTAGTTCATGCATATTTACTGATTCTCAGAGAATAACAACCACTGGTGTTGGTGACCTGCAGGGTTCATGCCTAAACTTGAGCAGAACTTGCCCCTTTTCATGGATCTAGAAAAGTCTATAATTGTTCAAAAATGTGTTATTATGTATGATTCCTTCAGGATGTCTTAAACAATAGTTGTTGCTTCTGGTTTTGTCCTAGGCACAGAGTCTTCATTTTCATGCCCTTGTAAAACAAATTCAAAACTTGGTCAAGAATCATCATGACCTATTGAATCAAGGGCAGTGTCAGTTGGTCCCCATCTTGTCCATCTCAAGTATTTTCCCAGCATACCTTGATCCATAAAGAAATAACACAGCCTCATGCCTCTGTCTATCTATCTATCTATCTTTTTTTTTTTTTGCCACTTTACAATCCTTAGGAAAGGGTAGTACATAAATAAATATTTACAAACATTTATTGGACATTTGCTACATGTCAGGCCCTGTGTTAGGTGCTGAGTTCTCTTCAACAATGTTGATACCAATTTAATAAGCTTGAGCCAGTAGGAAGTTAGCAAAATTTTTTAGTTTTCTTTTTAAATATGAATTCAGAGGCAAACATTTTATAGAATTTTTTCAAAAGCTATTACTAAGTACATGAAAATAAATGTTTTATATGTTCTCCAAAGATAAGGCATAAATCTAATGAAGAAAGTGAAGAAAATGCTCAAAATAAAGTTGAAATATTAGTACAATGAGTACCTCTATACTCACCTTGTAGATTCAACAGTTGTGAACTGTTTGCCATATTTGTCCCATCTGTATGTACTTCTTTCTGAACAACTTGTAAACTACAGACAGAACGATGTTTCACCCTAAATAATTCAGTGCACATCTAAAAATAAGGCCATTCTCCAACATAATCACGATGCCATCATTATACCTAAGAAAAAGAACAGTAATTCCTTAATACTATGTCATAACTAGGCCATATCTAACTTTTGCCATTTGCTCCTCAAATGTTGTCTATACCTTTAAAAAAATTTTTGATCTGATTTTTAAAAAGGAAAGCACATTTTTGCATTTGGATTTTATGTCTTTTTATTTGACATTGAACTTTTTTTAAAGGTTAAGCCAGTTATTTTGTGGAATATTCCATGCTCTGGATTTGTTGTTGCCTCGTGGTATCATTTGTGTCTTCCCTTACCTCTTGTATTTCCTATAAACTTCAATTTTGAGCTAAAGCATTGATTAGATTTCGACTGAGTATTTGTAACAAGGTTCCATATTGCGTCTCGGCTGGAGGCACACAATGCTGGATTGTCCATCACTTTGTGATGCTCAGTCTGATGGTGGCTCCAGGTTGTGATCTTGCTCCAGGGATCTCTCTTTCACAAACGCACTTTTTTCTCCTTTGCAATTAACAAGTAATCTGAGCAAATGACACTTTGGGACAGTGGTAATATACTATTTCCCAACAAACTATCGCCAGTGACTCTAGGTGATAACTATTGCCTAGATCAACTATTCCGTTAGGGGTCATACACATATGAGTACACTTTGAAGGAGGATTAGACATACAAATTCATCATTATCAGCAGCAACAGCAGATATTTATTGAGTGTGTAAGTGCGGGTAATAACAACTATAATAATAATGACATTTAATGAATGCTTGTTGTGAAGCCAGTCTAGGTTTGAAACCAGTCCTTCACTTACTAACTGGATCATCTGGGACAAGTTACTTACTCTTTCTGTGTGTTAGTTTCTTAAGCTGTAAAATGAGAATAACAGTGGCACCTATCTCATCATATTGTGTTGAATATTAAATAGTTGCTACATATAAATTTCCTGTAACAGTGTCTGTTACTTGTTGAGCACTTTACAAGTATTCATTCATTTGCTTCTCATAATGGCACAATGAATTAAGTGCTAATACTCTCCTTCTTTCACAAGTGAGGCAGCTAAGGTACAGAGAGATTAGGTAGCCTGCACAAGGTCACTTACTGAATTTTTTGAACTGTAAGACGCACTGGACCATAAGATGCACCTAGGTTTTAGAGGAGGAAAATGGGGAAAAAATATTGAAGCAAAAAATGTGGTAAAATATTTAATAACATAAATAACATAGGCCACTGCCTGAGAGCCACGTAAGCTACATTCAGACTATAAGATGCACCCCCCTTTTCCTCCCAAATTTGGGGGGAAGGTGTGTCTTATAGTCAGAAAATACAGTAACTAGCTGGATTTGAACCCAGATGGTCTGATTCCAGAGTATTCTCTCTGAAGACTGGCACATATAATGAGAAGTGACACAAGTGAAACTGAATGGAAATCGCTAACAGAACCCCTCCCACACTTCAATCACCATCACCACCCAAGCTTTAGGTTAAGTTATTGAAAACCTGAGAGTGTTGCTACCAAAATATATTTGTTTTGTCTCTCTGAAGTAAAACACTCTATTAAGCATAGATGAGTTTACTTACTGTGTTTATATAGCTTAGGAAACTTTAAGCATAAAAGATAATACTAGGAACTGAAAAATGTAGAACAATGAGGGAAGAGGAAGGAAAATACTGAAAGGAATAATCTGAGAAAGGACTTGTGAGACCTCAGAGCCTGAGGGCATAAGATGATACTTCGATATAGTCAAGGGGGGAAAAATCCCTCTCATTTTTCACATTCCTGTACTGTATGAGATTTTACCTCTAAAACACAAGAGTATAGCCATTGTCAGATTTATGAAAGACCCCATGGGACGATGGGGTGAGTCTTGCTGGAAGGTAACTTTCCTAATTGGTTATCTCATACATCAGATACTCTTCTGAAACGTAACTGCAGCACAGAGAAGGCCTCACAGGCCGGGTGCCGGTCACTATCCCGGCAGTGACCTTACAGGAGGGTGGCAGGCACTGTCTCACTCGCGCCTTTGATGGCCATTACAGAAAACTTTCAAGTGTAATTTTCTAAAGAGAACTAAAAATAAATGAGAAAAAATCCGACATTAAAAATCTTTTCATGCATTTTTAACATAGATATTGCTAAATTGATTCTGCCTTTTTGTGTTTTTATTTTTTTAATGAAAAGCAGCCTAATTGATCAGTTGGTCATAAATATAAATGTTTGTTTTTCTTCACACCTCTCAGCCTTCTAGAATAACAGGTTTAACATGGCAGCCTTACAAACGGTTTATGATTCGTGTCTTTTGTGTGGTGCTCTTTGAGAAAATACTGGAGACAACTGGCTGAGAACTCAGTAAGAATTCAGTAAATAATAAGTAGATAGTTTTATTAAATATGATTTTAAAGAAAAGTTTTTAAAAATAACTAGGAAATATTACTAGGGAAGTACACAAGTAGAAAAAATATGGTTAATTTGTAATTTGAAATTGTACTCATCATTTTATAGGTCATGGGTTTTAGCACTTTATGAAGCAAAATGGGAGGTCAGATTTGCTCCCCTCCCGTAAACAGATTTGTATTCTAAAAATATGGATTATTGAATCAGTAAGACTCTCAGGAAGATCTCAACCACATGCTAAATCTAGGGAAACCGCTGTATTTTAATACATTATTTGAGCTCTTTAAGTCGATCATAAATACGTTGCTATTCAGGCCAGCACATAGGTTCTTACTGGCAGTGGTGAGGTGCAGGGTAGAGGGGAGTGTCAGAAACACATTTACAGAGCTGAAGAAAGCTGTGGAAATTCTGCCCAGGGGAAACAGCATGCCTAGCTCTCATCACACACTCGTTTACACAGAGCTTCCAGTGGGCCAGTGATCCCTGGGGTCCATCCCCATGTCCTCGACAGGAAAAATTTCCTTTATTTGGAGTTTTGTCTTATTTTTACCCTGAGCCTTATAAAGCCTTAAAAAAAGAGAGTTTTTACATATTATCTCATTTGATCTGGCGGTGATCTTTGAGGAAGACAGACCACATATTTTAACCTCTCACGTTGCAGAGTAGGAAAAGCAAAGCTCATGTGGTTGAGCGACTTGCACGAGGTAATTTTGCCAATGTCAGCCAAGACAGGACCAGAGCTGGTGAGTTGTAGCCCAGGGTGCCTTCTACTACACCGGTCCGGGCACAGTATTCCGGGGATGCATTAAGGAACCCCTAATGGGCCTTCTGGAAAACTGCAATCTGGCTCTACTGAAAACTACCTGTGTGACTTTGAACAAGATGTTATAACCTCTCTGGGCCTCAGTTTCCTTCCTGGTCAAATGAGAGTTAGGCCACGTGCTTTCTAAAGCCCTTCTGTTTCTGTTGCAAACTACCCGGTCCTGAGAACAGAAACAACTTGTTCTATGATAGATGGCAAGACCTTTCAACCCTTCCCTGTATGTAGGTCATAAGAGCCGGCGTCCAATTCATGATGGGTCCCTTCGCAATGTCCAAATCCTGTTAGAAACTATAAACATCAATAGTGCTTTGATGGGCTGTTTGTGTGTCGTTCTCCCGGTCGCCTCATTTTTCTGCAGGGCTGTCTCACCATGATTGGGTCTGACTCTGCTCTGCATCAGGCAGACATGACACAATATATTATTTTCTCTCTTGGGCAGTTCAGAGTATAATACAGAAATAAATAATGCTGATGGACTTATTTTGGGCCTAGGCCTTATCCTTCTAAAAATGTTGTTCCTCTTAAAGCACCCAAACCTTCCACCTGATTTTTCATTATTAAGAGTTATTTTTATATTTCTTTAATATCCCTGGAATTGCTTGGAAATTTGAGATTTATGTGACGGCCTGCAGCAGTGAATGCAGAAGCCTGAGACAAGAAAGAAGTGATAAGCTTTTGGAAGTATTTGGAGAATCTTTGAGTCAGAATAATTAGGACACATTTGTAGGTTAGCATTTGTTTCAGATTTATAAAGTGTCCAGAGCATATGCTGCCAAGTACACAAATCCATGATATAGTCCCAGTTTAATTCTGAGTCTCTCTGGGAAGCTAAAACAAGCAGAAAATTCTCATGTTCCATATGTCAGTAAACTGGGGCTTTATAACACCAATTATCAAACAGTGGAACTGCAAAAATCAAGGGTCTGCTACACATTGGAGCAATCCACCCTCCCCTTGCTCTAGGCCTTTGGACTGACCCAGGCCAAATACCGTTAGCACAACAGGCTGACTTCCTCGGTAACCAGGAAGGCAGCAATCTCTGTTTGTGATTATCGGCTGATGATAGGAAATTGGGGGCCCTGTTTCTCAGTCATTTTTCTCTTTGAATTTTCTAGAAGAATTTCAGTCTAGAGAATGGAGTTATATCGACTTGTTACGGAGAAGGGTGCAGTTTGCTCTGCATTTTGTCAGGTCATCGGACAGTGGGAGGCAACACTGCCTGGGGGTGACGGTGACGGAGCATGAGCTCAGGCAGGCTTATGGGTGACTCAGTGTGCCTCACATACTCCTCTGTCCTTGAGTGAAATGAGACTGTTCTTTAACCTCCTGCTACCCCGGAGACTTAGAGAGAGGCAAGCATTGTTACCCCAAGAGCATTTTTTATATCTTTGACGTAGTGTAAACACCTAATACTTCATTTACAAAATGCATAACATGGTGATTTCTTATTTAAACAAACCCATTTTGTGAAATTTCTGTCTTCTAGACCAATAGCGTTAAGAGACCACTAACTCATACATAAACCAGGTACTGTGCGATGTTGCACCTCGACACTTACTACCCAGTAAACATCCGGATAATGAAGGAGAAATTGCGAAGTTAAAGAATCCCCCAGCTGGAGAGCAATTCCCAAGACTGGGAACAAGCAAGATGGAGCTTTTAGAATGTAAACTCTGTTTTTCTCTAGCCCGGATACATAACTTTTATCTTAAAAATGCAAGCTGTAGGGAAAAGTAAGTTTTACTACACAGCCAACTCTGTCAGCTCACATTATTTTATAAAGTGAAGGTTCAATTAGGTGTTATTATCATCAAGAGAGCA